GGCAGGGTTTAGGTGCCCCAAAAGCAGTCCTCAGGCTATTTCCTCGCTTTACATGCGGGGCATACGAATAACAGGCACAATTTTATATTATTAACAGGTTTAGTCACTTAGATCCTACTTTAAACTGTTTAGTTAACGAGCTATACATGTAGTGCTGTATCTTGCATAACTAGCTGGCATGATGACACTTCCGTTCTATACACATTGATGAGAATACTAGTGTTTCTTCAGGCTATAGATATGTAAGTTTTGATTATACGGCATTGCATTAAACTAAGCATATTAAAGGTACAGTAGTTGCTGAATTCCTAGCTAATCTTAGCACATGTAATCATAATATCCACTCGCTAGACATATATTTATAACCCCCCCCCCATGCTCCCTCGGGTGAGCTGACCAGTAATAGAATCAAAAGAAAAAAAAGTAAAATATATTTTCCAGCATACTTTCGAGAGAGTTCAAAAGGGGCATAGAGAGCTTTGTGGCAGTTGGTTCTATGCCTGGCTTTGAGTCTGAGTACCTTTGAGGTCTGGTGCTTGGTGTTGGCGGGTTCCTCTGCTTCACTGCCTCTGCTGGGGGAGGCAAGTACTTGACCCTCCACCGCCGTCTAGCTGCCGTCGTCTTGGGCCTTGTGTCATGCCTCTGCCCCTGCCCGTTCGGGGCGTCGTCACCCTTGTGGTGTGTTTGTCGGCGTGGTTGCGCTGCTGTTTGTCCCCATTTGGTTTCCTTTGGGGTGCCTGGAGGTGTAGTCTGGGGTGGCTCCGCAGACTCTGAGGGTCTCATGTGGGCTTCCAGGGACTCCCAGAAAGTTGCGAAGATGCAGTTCAGCCGCATCTCCATTTCCTGCCATGCTTTAGATGCGTCAGCGGTGTGTGAGGCTTCCTCCATCTTAGAGAACGCTGGGTCGGTTGGTTTCGAGCTCCACGGGGCCGATACTGGCCCATTGCTCTGCCAGGGGGTGGGATGGGGGTGGACCAGGACAACCCCCACTGGTCCAGAGGGGGGGGAACGAGGGCTCGCATTCAGATTCCCGGCATGGCATAGTCGCTGGGGAGCGGCTGTCTCCCCTGTGCCCGCCATGCTTGTGGGCCACATTGTGTGTTGTGCTTGGTTCATCGCTTGAGAGGTGTCTTTCTCTTCACCTCGGTGTCCCCTCTCGAGTGGTGGCTTTAAATTCACTATTAAGTGCTTTTGTGTCGTTGAGATTTAGCGTTTAGTGCCGAGTTTTGCAGGAGCTGCTGTGATGAGCATCTTCACAGCATCAGCTAAAAGACACTTTGTGCAGAACTGGCATTGGCACATATGGCAGAGCATATTGGCGGGGCATTGTGATGTCACATGGTGGGAAGGGCGGCATTTTTTTTTTTTGCGTAGGTCGGCAAAAATCATTGCACCAGCCCTGCTTGCTTCCTTGCGCTTCTGACAAAGATATCTCTAATGAGACGGAGAGGGGTATTTTTTATATACACCCCTACATGCTTATTAACCCTTAATAGGGAACACATGGGGTAGGCGGCAGCACTGTAACATGGCTGTGTGATACCAAAGCAAATACACAAAAATAAGTCTTGCGCTCAAACTCCCATTACTCCTGGGCAGCTGCAATGACCATAGTACACATCAGCCACAATACATACAATAACACCATTAATCCTGTAGATCAGTCCCATAAATGACCTTGCTTTAGAAAAGTATGTGTTTTAATAGTGTATATCTCATATATTGGAGCCAGATTCCCACTGCTTCAGGTCTGGCACTCACTGCCAGAATATAATATATCAAGAAACTTGTCACATTTTAACTTAACATTCTCCTCTACACATTTCTAAAAAAGTACACATCATAAGAGTTTAAGGTAACACAATACCGCATTTATTCAAAGAATGTGCCATGAACAAAGTTCACTCTCATCAATGTTATTCTCAAATATTTTTCAAATAAACATGCTATCAATCACATTATACTCTACAAACGGAAACTCAGTGATATTCTTTTTCTATACATCAAGAATAAGTTGTTGTACCTGGGTTAAAATTGAGTGCTGAAACTCACATTGGAGGTATCAAGATTAGCTTGTTTGTAGTACTTGTGACAGTGCAAAACTTTATTTATCAAATTAATTTTATTACGCAATATTACCTACAATACATAAATACAAATATATTTAATCCCCACACATGATACATTTTTTTAAATAAGCACAAAAACAGAACACGCACTTATAGCTGTTTATTTAGAGACCATTCTATTATGTAGTCTTATTTGGTACAACTTTTGGTTATTAGGTAAAAACTGGACAGGAAACATTGCAAAAGCCTGAATCTGGTTTAAAATACAACTGTCACTTCAAAATTATTTTTATTAAAATAATTTTTTCATCACATTTTGAAAGGTAAGAGAGTTCTTTAAATGAAGTATATGTAAAAAACGAGAAAACTTATTCCTAACAGGTCACTCCAGCCATATACACAGGGCCGGTGCAAGGACTATAGGACTATTGGCTACACAGACAAAGATGCTTTTTGCTGCTTTCCCTGCAATTAGTATTTTTTTTTTAAATGCATCATTACCGTGCTTCTGTTAACCACCCTTTGGAATATTTTATTCCCTCTTTGTCTTACCCGCTTTTGTGTACCTTATCCCTAATTTTCCCCCTTTATGTGTCTTACACTCCCCTTGTGTATCTCTTACTTCCTCCCAGCCCCTCTGTATGTCTCTTCAGCTCCGCCGCTCTGTGTTTGTCTTTCTCCCCAAGACCCTTTTATGTGTTTCTTCTCCCCAGCCCCTTTGTGTGTCTCATTCTCCCCTTCTCAAGTCCCTCTGCTTGTCTCTTCCCCCAGCACCTTGTCCCTGCCCCTAAGCTCCTCTGTGTTTCTCTTTTTTTCTTTTCCCAGCTCATCTGTGTCTTTTTTCCCCTTCCTCAGCCACTCTGTTTGCCTTTCTCCCCCATCCTCTCTGTGTGTCTCTTTATCCCCAAGCCCATTTTGTGTGTCTCTTTCCCCTTTGTTTCTCTTTCTCCCCAAGTCCTTTCTGTGTCTTTTCCCCCGAGCCCCTTTATGTATCTATTTCTCCCCTTCAACAACCTATGTGTGTGTCTCTTCTCCTCAGACCCTCTGTGTTTCTATTCTCATCCTTCACCAGCTCCTCTGTGTATCTCTTTCTACCCAATCCCCTCTGTGTGTCTCTTTCGTTCCTCAAAGTCCCTTAGTGTGTTCATTTCCCTATGCTCTTCTGTGTGCATCTTTTTCCTCAGCCCTTTTGTGTATCTCTGTATCCCCTTCCCCAAACCCGCTGTGTATTTCTTTCCCCCAGCCCCTCTATATTTCTCTCTTTCCCTTTCAACAGCTTCTCTGTATATCTTTTTTAACCTATTTTCACCCCCTGTGTGTATCTTTCTGCCCCCCAACCCACTTTGTGTGTCTATCCCCCACCTTTCTGTGTGTCATTTTTTCCCTTTGCCCCTCTGTATGTCTCTTTCTTCTACCCAGCCCTCTGTGTGTCTCTTTCTCCCCTTCCCCAAGCCCCTTTTGTGTGTCTCTTCTTACCAGCCCTGCTTGTGTGTTACTGGGAAGTCAGAAAAATGCATACCTCCAAGCACTTGAAATGGACAAAGAGGAAACCTTTAATTTTAGGGGTGTGAGTGAGGTCTTGCCAGTGGCATGGCTCTTCTTAGAAATTGTAGGTGACTTATTAATACAAATTTTTGAAACTTATATGCGATTTAGAACAGGAGCAAAGTATTTTATTTACACGTACTAATATCTAAACATTTGTTGTAGTTTAAAGACACTTTACTGGGAGTGTGGAACTCTGTTATACACTCAGACACACCAACAATATGGAACTCCCAGAAAAGTGGGACATTAGGAAAGAGAAGGTGGCAGATGGACTTTCCTCCTAAATAAGGAATGTACTGCCATTCCCTGTTAAACTCTTTTTTAATAAAAATATTTAAAGGACCACTATAGGCACCCAGACCACTTCAGCTCAATGAAGTGGTCTGGGTGCCAGGTCCCCCTAGTTTTAACCATGCAGCTGAAAACATAGCCATTTCAGGGAAACGGCTATGTTTACACTGCAGGGTTAATCCAGCCTCTAGTGGCTGTCTCCCTAACGGAGTAAATAGCACTTATTTGACGCTGAACATCCTCACGAGTCCAGTGTCAAAAAAGATCCCCATAGGAAAGCATTGAGTAAGCAGCTCCTTACCATTCGGCAGCACTCAGAAGCTGACGTCGATGGAGGAGGAGAGGTCACCAGTGCCGAGGGAGTCTGGCGCTTGATTAAGGTAAGCAAATATCTTCATCTAAGTCAAAGAAAAGTTTGTTTTTTTTACAGTAAAAGCAATAAGGATATGGAATTCTCTGCCTGAAGAGGTGGTTTTATCAGAGTCCATACAGATGTTTAAACAGCAATTGGATAAATACTTGCAAAAACTTAACTTTTTTTTTGCCTTCTTTTCGATCAACAGCAAAAACATATGTGAAGAAGGCTGAACTTGATGGACGCAAGTATCTTTTCAACTATGTAACTATGTAACTATAAATGGTTAATTAACCATTTATTTGCTGCGGAATGGTGACTATTTGTACTCCTAACTCTATAGTGTTCCTTTAACATAACATATTGTAAAATGAAAGATACATAATAATGTAAAGCACTGCAGAATAAGTTGCTGCTATATAAATGCCAATAATAAAAAATACTGGTAAAGGATGACTTTTCACCATTCTGTTTTGTAAGTAATAACGACTCAAGAACCCTCCTGGTGACTGTTTTCCAATAAAACATTGTAGAGGGCCACGGGTAACCTGACTGGTTACCTCCGCTAATTCCTTCACTCAGCCAGAATGGAACCATTAAAACATGCAGACATCCATTCCCCCAGTAACCAGTTGAAACATAGTTCTGGGAGTCAACTGATTTATTTCAGTTCACACACGACTTTTATGCACAGACCTACATGGGGTCTCCAATACAATAATGCAGGGTTTTCATTCCCAGGATCATTTGTGCCTTAGAGATAATTGCGTGAGAAAAACCTAAATTCAATTATCTCTCAGGTACAAAAAATCTACACAAAATGTACAATGTGGTGGTCTGCCAGAATATCACCGCCACAGATGCCCTTTTCCCAATACACAAACACGAATAATCCCAATGGTAAAAATATCATGGCTATTCCATAACCTATTCCATGATCCTCTGTACCTGAGAGATAATTATCGAAATACACATAGCTAATAATATTATCTTTCAGGGACAGAAAAATCATACATTTCTTAACCACCCCAAAAGTACCCCCAAAATACATGAAAACACACAAAAGCCACATCCCCTGATCTGGGCGAACAATATATCCATTCTGTAGTTTTGGATCGCCATCGCAGGGAAGTTCTGACTGGTCTGCCATGAGGTTGAAGTCCAAAAATAGTTCCATGGAAATTGTGGCAAGAGCCGGTCTCCGTTTGTGGGGTTTTGTATGAAAACCACATAAGGTAGATGAAAGCTGATTCATGTAGAATACTCCCCGTGTTCGGTAATCTGTAACTCCCAAACGCTGTTCACATAGGAGAACTGGAACGAGAACAGGCAGTAGGTCCATGGTGACCATGTTTGCGGGAGTCCCTGCCCAAAATGCGTTCCAGGTACTCAACGACCAAGTCCCACTGCCAGTGTTCAGGATACAAAATGGCCACCATGTGGAGCATTCTATTAATTATTTCCTTTGCGGTTTTCGTACAGGGCACTTAACGTTCCACATTCTAATGGGTTTCTGGGGTGGTCTTGGTTCGGGAACTGAACAAAACAAACAAAGCAAAATTAAATACGAATCTATGTATACAGTCCCCCAAAAGTGCCCCAATCATAACTAGGAACACCACAACAGTTATATCCCCGGATAGCCCCGATATGAGTGTATAACATATCCAAATATCACTAAGATTGGTTCTGTGAAACGGCAATGCCATGGAGGTAATGTTTTGACCGGCCAGACACGAAGCCCTAGCCTAAAACAGTTCCAGGGGCATAGGTGCCCCGCATAGTTGGTTGGGAAGTAGAACGGACAGCGGTCTAATCTTTACCGGGGTTCGTGCGAGTGCCTGGCTGTAAAGAGTTCCAGGCACTTGACAATCAAGTGTCGCTGCCCAAGTTCTGGAGACAAAATGGATGCCATTCTTCTCATTAATTACTTCCCTTGCAGTTTTGCACTTAAGTTGCTGGTGTGAACGTTCTAATGGGATACAAGGGTGGTCCTCGTTCGGGAGATAAATGGAGGAGGTTCGTATAGACTAAAAATAGACTAAATTCGTGGTAGGTTCCACCACAAACATACTTTACTGTTTAGCCTTTTTTATAAACATGCACATACGCACATACACATGTATATATAGATTACAAGTACTTAGTTTCTCAGTAACTATCAAGTCTGAAGAAGGAGGATACCTATCCAGGCAATTAGAGACTTTATTTTATCTCTAAGACTTTACTTTGTTACGACTGCCACTGTCTTAGGGCATCTGTTTTTCATATACCTATTTTACTCCCTGTTCCTTATTTACTCTCCATATTGTCTTCCTGTGCACCTTATATTTTTGTCTATTTTACCATTATTCAAGGGTTTTTGGAGAGAAATTCCCTTTTTGGTGTGCTGCCTTTTACTCTGTTATATAACGCTGCCCCATTCTTTTCTCTCTCACAAAAGTAATGTATGACAGGCCTCAGCAAGGTATAGAATGCTTGAAGATCCCCAGGCACAGTTAACCTTTTTAATTGAACTTCTTTGAACTCTGAAAGAAGAGCACATCTTGGCAGCAGGTGTAAAGGTTTAAAATTGGGTTGTCTGGTTTACTGAAGTTTTTTAACCCTTTTTCCAAACTGGTACTTCTAGTAATTAATTATTTAGTACAAGGCTGGCAAGTACAACAAATATAAACCTTTCACTAAACATGTTTCCTTATTGTCAATTGCTTTGACAGGACAGAAGTGTGTACCAGTCCTTAGGGTGGCCAGGCTACCACTAAGGATAGTCAAACAGAAAGTCAGAGGACTGACAAAGAGGAGTTGTGAAAAGTCCAAAGTCAAGGAGCACTGAAAGTCACAAAATTTAGAGACAAGCCAAAGTCAGGAGCACAGAGGACTAGAATAGTGAAATATTATAGAGTCACCAACTAAATAGTCAATAAACATAAGGAATGCACTCTTGGGGATACAGGAACCACGACAGAGCAGAGGACTTCTGGTGGAGCCAGTTTAAATAGCCCTAGTGATTGCAATAACCAGAACAATACAATACATCATTGACCGGCGATGACAAAATATTACCAAACTTGTGTCATTATTGACATAGGACTGATATTGGGATTTTGGCTTGTCCTTTTGCCTTGTGTCACTATTAATGTAAGACCAACGCAAGGTTGGAATTTTGACTAAGTCTTTTTGCCCCAAGTCTATTCTGAAGCTCGGTTGAAGTACAGTGCTACTCTGGGCATTAGAATAATTCTGGGAGTGAGCAGAAAATTTGGCAGGTACACTTTCCGCACTTTATATCCCATATTCCGTTTATTGTTTTGCGAGAAAACACAACACCCATTTAAAACAGTCGCATGGAAACACGTTCTAGCTTGCTGAAGGCAGGCTGATGAAGACCTATGCAGATCATAATCAGAATATCCTTTACTACTGTATGGATACAATCCTCAAGTGTGTTTTCCAATATTTGTCCTAAATAACACTTCTTTCTTTGGTACTAGAAGTGGGACTAAATATGCTTCTTAGTTCCACCTCTTCTTCTAGAACATATTTAGTGAATAAGAAATATTTTTTTTCCCTAAAGCTACTAACGCATCATCACTGGAAATTTATGAAAAATTTCCTTGTTTTACGTTACGTTTGACCCAGTGATGTTTTGTTATCAAATGAATGCAAACTAGATCACCATTTAGCTTTGGATTTTCTGTTCTTTGTGTCAGAAACTTGTGTAGTCAGTATCTTTTATACACAGAAAAAAAAAATAAACCTTTGATTAGGCTGTATATATCTATAGGTGTTGCTTTGTCATCTATAAGTGGTAGTCTATCCAATCTTTGAATCGGCACAGAAAATAAGTCTTGCTGCACATTTTCCTTATTTTGGGTGTTCTAATAGTGTATATAAAATATATTTTGTCAGTAACTTCTCATTTGTGGTAGAGCACACAAACTGCTTTTATGTGTCAAATACACATGTCAAATCTTAAACCATAAAGACCATATTGCTATGGGGGCATGGGAATGTCATTACACCTTCCAAATGAGTTGTAAACAGAAAATCAGTAAAACTTCTTTAAAAACCTGCTGAGGTTTATTTTCTGGGTGTACCATCTTGAAAATCCATGTTTTTTTTTTTTTTCACAAGACCAGGTGTTTGTGTTGTGGCTATAGTACAGAAAACTCAGAATCACAGTTGTTATACAGTCCATTTTAAAGTGGAATTTGATTTTTCCAACAACATGATAATGTTCTGGAATAGCTGTTCCATTAGTTAGTAAAATGATTCACTAAACTGGAAATTATAAAATTTATGTTTAAACAACTGAGCTGGAAAATAGCTGACTTGGAGTAGTCTTCCTGTTCCGCTATTTTGGTCCATACCTTTTAAATCCCGTGCAATGCTTCCCAAATTTAGTAAATAACCCTCAAACTGCCTTTCATAGTGTACACCTTTGTAGAATGTCTATATATTTTCCTTGGAGTCAATTATAACATCTTTCTCATGCCATTCTACATAACCTTCATATTTTCCGAAATTTCTCCCATGTGTTATGTGCAATTAATAGAATATTGAAGAGGGGTGCTGGTTTGATCACGTACCAAGAAAGCAAGGTATTTTTCATTTCTAACTACTTTCTTCCCCTTCTAAAATGTTTCTTTCTGTTTTTAGATTTCATACATCTTAATTCATCTTTAGAACGCATTCCTTTTGCAATGGCAATGAACATGAATTAGACAGCACAACAATTAACTTTGCCGTTGTAATAAATTATAAACAGTTTCTAAGTTAAATTTCCAATTCAATGTAGCAGATTTAGAAAGCAGTAGGGTGCACGCTGCTTCAGTTTTAATTCACGAAAATTCTGTGTATATAAATTCATTAATACCAGGTAACTGACTCTCTAATGTAATGGCCCAGGATACTGGGCATTGGGGTAAAAGCAAAGCGCTGTAAATTAAGCATTTTCAAAAAGTTGTATGTTTCAAGCTGTTTTGATAGATTCTTATCGATGTGCATGGGGTTTATATAACTTGGTAAGAGACACAGCAGAACTCATGCTGGCAACTTAATTAAAAATGCACCATCTAGCTGAAGTGTGCAATTAAAAAAATTGAAATCCACAGCGTGAGCCTTCACCTGCAGATGGAATGGAAATGTGCTTGTTTACTTGTAAACCTACAGGGATAGAAGAAAACGTATAATGGGTTTCATAAACAACTATTGAGAGGATGCTTCATGTACTACAAATTAATTCAAATTCAAATCAATTGCAATCCATCCAAATTTTGAGCGATTGGCAACTCATACAAATTCCACAACTCCAAAATGCCATATGGACGTATATAACAAAACAACCTAAATGGTCTGTTTTGTTTGTTTTGTGATTCAGTGTTCCATCCGTGGAGCTAGAATAACGAGGAGGGAATGTAGAAGAAGCTGATTTTTTTTGGTGGAGGGGAAAATAAGCAGCTTTTTTTGACATGATGGACAAGAGGTCTGCCCAATGATGTGGGCTGGGCTGTATCTCATGTCCAATAGAAAAAAACAAAAAGATGATTGATGAAAATAAAGATTGTTGATGGTTAAGTGACAGATCAAGTGAAAAGTAACTAGTAAATGAAAATAAAATTGAGTAGTCAAAAATCTCTATTTATCCAAAGAGGTAAAAATGGTGCATCCACTATACACACACACACAATGCATTCACTACACACTGCATACAATACACACACACCAAATCCACTTCACAAACACATACTTTGCATCCACCATACAGTCACTGCATTCACTACACGCATGCTAAAAATACACACAGACTACACACAGACACTTAATCCACTGCATACAATACACAATCCCACACTCTGCATCCACTGTATACACACGCACACACACACACACACACACTGCATACAATACACACACGCCAAATCCACTTCACAAACACATACTTTGCATCCACTTTACAGTCACTGCATTCACTACACCCATGCTTAACATAATGAATGTGGGTGTGGTTTAAGGTTTGGTGAGGGGTGGGGGGGGGGCAGCACTTCACCTTTGGACCCAGGCAGCACAATGTCTTGGGCCACAATGTCTTGGTTGCACATTTACATGAATGTGTGGGGACATGGGGGCATAAACAAGAAGTAGAAAAGTATAGTGAAACTAGAAAACAGACATCTTGAATCAGTGGAAGTCATGACAATAAATCAGTTCATCCCAAGTTTATCTGGTGACTCCATCATTGCTTGTGCAAATCTATATGGTGCCAGAAGTAGGATCACTGACAAATCATGGCTCAAAATCTAGAGCACATAAAACAGCTTGTCTTTGATGATGACATTGTTAACAACTGGCTGAAATTCAAGAGAGAATTGGAAGTGTACAGCAAAGCAGAACTTTCAGACAAATCATAAACTTACAAGCTCACAGTTGTCTTAATTTGGCTGGTTCAGATACCCTAGATACATATGAGTCATTTCACTTTAAGAGGGCGAGGGCAAAGAGGATCTGGATGGGTTAATCAAAAATTTTGATGAGATATG